CCCCAAAACCCCAAAACCCCAAAACCCCAGAATTCAAAAATTTATTAAAAAAGGAGTTTATTTTTCATTAAATTAAGGTCAGTTATTATATTATGTATTAATCATAGTTTTATATGTAAATAAACTAGGTAGGTTTTTTGAGGTCTTACTAATCTTTTTCAAATGTCTAATGTACTCTCTCAAAGTATTTAGTTGTGATGAAGGTCATTATCTACTATTTTAATATCAAGATTGCAAAGAGGACATCTAGAGTCATTTATATGCATAGAAATCCAGTTTTCAAGGCAGGTATTATGGAATAAGTGTCCGCATCTGTTAATTTTTCTAATAATGCATGCGTCAAAGTCGTCAAAGCATATTACACAACTTATTTCTCCAAACTCTGCAAAATTCTTATCAAACTTACCCTCCATCGTGTAGTTTTCAAGAATAGATATCAGTTTCTGCTTCGTTCTTTGAGCTTTCTTTGCTTTTTCTAATTGATGTCTTTGTTAATTCGTTAATCTCTGATTATTAGCTTCATCATAATTTACCATATCAATAGGAAATACATGAACAGAGCTTAGATTATTTTAGCTGTTTCTAACTCTATTGCTCCTGTGGTTAATAAACCCAATTTGAGTAGCATTAAGTAATTATACATCCGCGAAAGATGCTCCCAAAATAGACTGATTTTGAGGTACAGCGTTCTAACTTACAACATGAGCGAGTCTTAATTATTGCTGCTAATTTAAAATCTAAATTTAGGAGCTAGTAGAATGGATACCTGGTCTTATCTGAGAAATTTAAAGTAGATTTGTGTTCGATTCCCTTGAAGATCTGGGCTTTCGACTTAGTGCATTCAAATCTACTACTGCCTCAGACTTCAACTTCAATTTAGCCATATGCGTTCGGTATAGTCTTACAAATATCACAGCTGAAATCAAAAGGAATACAATGCCACAAGCTGCAATAATGAATGGAATCATGAATGAAGAGCCTCCTTGTTAAGAGGAACCATCTTATTGATATATTTACCCATCTTAGTTGTTGGTAGAGACATAATTTATTTTAGCCGGTTCTGTGGTTTTGGATGTAACTTAAGCTGTAGGCTTCTATGTGTAGTATGTTGCTCTTTAAGTTGTGTAGGTGTATTGTGTGGTATATCTAGTTGTAGTTGCAGCATAGGTATAAATTATTTAGGGAGCTGGAGTGGTTGTCCTTACAGTTGTAGTAGTTGTTGTTTATCGAGTTGCAGTAGTAGCCTATGTGGGTGCTTTTGTTTGATACGTAGGATAACTGTAAGTTTGCTGAGTACGGGTTCTAGATTGCTAAGTTTACCTTTGCAGATCTCTGTTGGATCTCTTGATATTTTATAAATAGGCTTGCATTTAAATTTATATATATATTTCAATCGATCCCACTCTGGAACAAAATTATCTTGCTTGGGGTTTTGGGGTTTTGGGG